AATTACAAGTTAAATGAATTTGTCAATCTTTAAAAACAGTACAGTTATAAAACTTCAAAACAGGTTGATACTTGTATTTAATTGTTTTGGTTGATTTTATAGAATTTTGTTACCAACTACTTTGTAGACTCAAAACCAAAAACAAAAGATACTGATCTAATGACAGAAGTTGGGGAAAAAAAAAGTTTCTACTCCTTTTTTCTTTTTTTCTAATTAGGTAAACATTAGTTTTATTCTAAAATTTGTTAAACCAGTTCTACATTATTTTGTTTATCAAAGTATATAATCTTTGTATTTCTAGGAGCTACTTCCTCTTGTGTTTTCTTTCCAATTACCACTAACAGGGCTGCAGGCTCCACCTGATCCTGGTTCACAAGCATTGCTTACTCTTCAACAGAAGTATGGGTTTACAATGTCTGTTCGCCAGTGGTCTCGGAGTAACAGCATTACCATTGTGCTTCGAGGTTACCGTAAGGACTTCAACCGAATCAGACAAGGTTTTGTTGAGCTCGTGGAATATCTTACAGGAACTAACATGGTAAGAAATTTGCTTCAGTTGTTAGATATTCTTTTAACTTTGTGCTGGGAAATATAATGTGAAGATTTTATAATTTCAAAAGTACAGTTATTTTGTTTTATGAACTACAAGCTCATGGCTCTTTAGTTATAGTGGATTGTATGTATCGATTGTTTCTAGTTCATCATTGTATATGGTCTACCTTTTGAAGGCTACATCCTAGGAGGTGAACACTTGCAGTTCAAAATATTAACTATATGAAAATTTGGTAAAATGTCATGTCTTTAGTTGTAGCTAATAGCACCAGGTAATAAACAATTATTAACTTGTTCATTACTTGAATACTTATTTTCAATTATATGTTCCCTCCAAATTTTCTAAGAGACAATTTTTTTATTGCAATAAATGTGGTGTAAAGTAAAAAGTAATACAATTTTCTTATAATTTAACTGCAATAGATGATGCTTAATAGTTTAAACATGACCATGTTTAATGAAAAATGTTTTTGTTTTCTTAAGCTCGGATATGTTAGGAATAAAAGTCTTGGGAATGTAAATCAATTTATTTCCTATATTTTTGATTTTTTAAAGAAATTAAACAACTATAAATGTGTTCTAATAAACCAAAGTTTGTAATGTATATCTTAACTTTTTACCTTAGCCTGGTCTGCCAGTCACTTTCAGTCTAGAGATTTCTTCTCATCATCATAGTTTTATCATGGGACATAATGGTTGCAATGTTCACTCAATTATCCAGTTTACTGGAGCTTCGATTACTTTTCCTGATACTAATACATCTTCTGGGGAAGGTGGATTAACCCCTACTCAATCCAATAAGTCTACTGTAACCATTACTGGCCAACTGGATTGTGTCTATGTAGCATGGCAAGAACTCATGGTAAGTAAAAATATGCTGTAATGTAAAATATAATGAGATAATTAATGTATAAACATTGCTATAAAACAAATAAAAATCTGTTCTTACTAATGCTTCTATGAAGCATTTTTTTCTGTCATTTCTAAACTTTTATAGACTACTGTAAAAATAATTTTTAATCTATATTTTTAATTCTTAGTTTATTACAATAATCTTATTCACTTAAACTAGTTTGACCTACATAAATATATCCATACATGTTTCTTTAATTACCAAGAAATTCACAGAATCAATACATGGTTCCTGTGCATCTTGCCATATTCAATCAGGTACCCACTGCTATTTTTATGCATAGATCATATTGCTTATATTTATCACTTCCTGCAATTAAGAGAGTCCATTTACACAAATAAAGTGAAGGTTTTTTGTTTCCTAGAACATCCAAGAACTTATTCCATTATATACCTTTCTCATGTATTCTCTCTTCTCAGCTTTGACAGAGTTGACTCCATCATATCCTTAAAAGATTTTCTATGATTGAATGAACTTTATGAATTTGTAGCATCACCACAGTAGTGTATTTATAGCAGTTTATTCATTCAAGGTCTAATAGTTGTTTCCATTCATGGTTTGTGCTGTAACCATAACATTTTGGATACATGCTGTACGCCATGCCACTTGTATTTTACTTGACACTTGCCATGATTTTCCAGCTTTTGAGTAATTCTAACTTTGTGGTTTTTATGGATGTTGTGACTTTTGTGAAATAATGTTGTTTTATATGATGTTTTAGTATCATCTACAGTAAGATGGCAGTTGGTTAAGCTCAGTGTTATGCTGAAGAATAAACTTCCTTCTATTATAGGGTTAATATTTGGCGTAAATAATCTCCCATGTGCTTTAGTTGGTTTTCAGTTTGCATTTTGTATAACACTGATGTACTTTTTGTTAACGTATATACGTAATGATGGCATTTTGTGAGTAAGACCAATGATGCACTCATGTACTTTGAGTTTCATTGTGACTGCTCTTCTGTAACTGTATCATAGCTGATGCCATGAAATGAACCAGTTTGATGTGAAAAAAAAAATTCTGGCTTTAAATTCTATCTGAATGCTTTCATAAATATTGCAAGGTTCAGGAAGTCATAGCAAGTAACATTTGCCACATGTATGTGTTTCCAAATATGTTGAATGGCTTGTAGGTGACCATTCTATTAAACATTTAAAGGATCGATATATGTAGTATCTCATCAAGACTTCACAAACAAACAGAACCCTCTGACCATATATGTGTTATTTCTCAACATGCATGTTGTCCATTGTTGCAACTTTACACACTCCAAATTCAATAAATAGGTCACGCATGCCACCATCACCTTTTAGACATTGTATTACTGTGAGAAAATAGCACAGAGTGTTGTAAAACATGTATCCTGGACTTATTTGCTGACAACACATAGTTTCTAGTAGATGGCTTTGGATCAAAAATGGTAACAACGTACTTTGTTTTATACACAATTGGTATGTTAGAGGCAATTGGTGTTAATAACTTGGGCTTATGCTGCTGCATAATATATAATATGCTTTTCCAACAGAATGAAGTGAAATCTGATCCAAAACTGCACTGCATGATTAATGTTGGAAGAAGCCTCATAAAGTGAAAGTGCAATCTTGTCATGGGGTGCCAAGTAGAGAACAACCTTGAGATCAAGTGAACTGCATAATTCTTGTTTCAGAGAATTTGGTTAGTTGATAACGCCACTCTTCCTTGGTGGTTTAGATTGTGTATGAGGTTTCTCTAACAATGCTACTTCTGAAGAAATATGCATGGATTTTTTGGAAACTGTGTTCTGTAAGATCTTGCTTATTTTCATAACTTTTAAACACAACACAAACCATAACAAGGAAGGTGTTTCTTCCATCAATGATTTGGCAGTTAACATCAACATTGTCATCACACTCGTGCTCCATACAGTCATTATTAGTGCTTGGATTAATACTACCTTGGATATAGACACTATTATGTGTTTTGTTAAATTCACACTATGATCTCATCATAATGGACCCATGTTTGATGGATTTGGACACCGAGATCAAAATACAAGGATACAGTAATGTTATTAGCATTTAAGATAATATATTCAGCCAAAGAAAGAGTGACCATCATTTAAGCTCCTGTTTCTCATCATCCAGCTCACCTAAATTCTAATAGTGAATTTTGGTTGGCAAATTTAGTCAGCTTCATATAGCTATATGGATCACAATGCCAACCAAAGTAAGGATTGAAAATCATTTTAAAATCTACCCAACTAGTATCACTTTACTTGTTTGTGTACTTTTTATTGCAGCATTTATTTTGTTTTGAATACTTTTTATAGCAATTCTACGAATAACCAATGATCTTTACTTTCTGTTAAAATTAAAAAATTTTTTTCCTATTTATTTTTTTAACATATCAACACACACTCTCATTTGTCTTTAAATACCAAAGAAGGTTATTTGTCCAAAACATTGAATGCATAATTAGTTTTAGTTATTTATTTTCATCGTCAGGTTATATGTTATTAATTTCAAACCTTACTTGATTTAGTTTTCTAACTCCCATTTCAGTTATTTACATATTTTAAGTAATCGATATAAACTACTGAATATTGTTATAAACTATATTTCTAATGGTGTAATTTGTTTGTTAGCTAGAAAACATAAAATTCTAAGTTTTTCTCACACATTCAGAGCTAGAATATAAATAAGAAATAGTTGTAAAGATTGTAGTTATTTTAGGATAGGGAGCTGAATTAGTTGGTGTGTTTTGAAGTATTTGTATCTGTGTTTGTTATTGTGTTTATCGAGTTACTTTGTATAAGTAAGTTGACCTGTGTTACATTAATTAACATTTTACAGTAGAAATTACATAAAATGGTTTTCTAATTATGTAATCCACCAGAAGCTAGACACACTCTAAAAAGCCTTCTAAGTTTAGCATACATTATATGCACCATAGAAAACATCAATGAAGATGTGCACTTAACTCAATACTTTACTAACATAAACCAGTTCCCTACTAAAGTAGTTAAAGAAACTATTAACAAATTTAAAAAAACACAGACAAAAGACACTTAAGAAACACACAAACTCAATAAATACTCCACAAAACAAAAGGAACCTAATCACTTGTACTATCCCATATATAGAAAATATTAGCATACCTTTATAAGAAATTTGGAAAAGACCAGCACATAAATATAACCTTAACAGAATGGCTAGATTCATTTTCACCCCTAGAATGGAAATTAAACATCTTAAGGAAATTATATAACAAACCCACCAGGAAACATTTACAAAATAGAGTGTAACTATTGCCCAGCATTTTATCTAGGTGAAACAGGATGCAACTTGAAGATCACCAAAAACCCCCTTCCCAAGTCTGTGAACGTATGAACAAAAACAACCATAGTTTTTCTGAACAGAATGTCACCATACTAAAACATGAACCTGACATTATCAAAATCAAAAAGCCTTAATAATAAAATCAAACAATCCCAAAATTAACAAATACCCAGCACATCTCTATATGCCTGATTGTTATTTCCCTAAATATTACTCATCTTGTGTAAATATTTTGCATATCATATTCCACATTTTTTTATTCATGTTTTGTTTGTTTTTGTCTCTAGCCATAAATAATCTGTCAATTCACATAGATTGATATGTATAAGCACAAATAACCACTATTAATTCTAAAATGTAAATACATTGTTAGATTGTTGAATATTGATTTAAATACTAAAACCTTCTTTACTCTTAAAACTTCTGTAGTAGAGAATGATCACACTAGTGATTAAAACATCCTACTTCTTCTAAAACATAATCTTCCTTACTGTAAAAGTTGTAACTTGAAATAAAATAATACTTAATCAGTAAGTAAACTCAAAATGAAACTGTTAATTAGTTAACACCATTTGTAACATAGGCCTACAACAACTTAAGGCTATGTACAAGTGTTTAAGCTTGTAGAAACTTTAAATAAGGAAATAAGGTAATTTATTATCATTGTGTGGATTGAAAATTGAATTATTTTCACCAGATAATTTGAATGAACCTGCTAACAAAAAACAAGAATATGAAACACTAATTTGAATTGTTTCATAGGGTTGCCTTCCATTGGTTTTGATGTTTGACTTGAAGGATAGCCAAAATGTTGAACCAGGTAATTTGAGAAACTTTAAAGTTAAT